TTTATGTTTTATAATTATATACGTTGAATTAACGGCACGTCATCGGGACTTCCTTCAAGACGTTACCGCATTCTTCATCCGCGAGCAGCAAATATTTCTTCAACAATGCGAGCGTCTCGCTGGATCCTCGGGTTCGTCTTAGACGATGATAATGCGACAAAAATCCGTGAGCGAAGTTTTTCGAGAGCGCAATTAACGACCCTGCGGTGTCCTACCCTCGCGCCTTAAGTGTATGCGTGTGTGCGTGCATGCCTTTATTTAGCTTTAGTTGGTCGAAACCGGTTGCCAGCGATTCCACTCCACTCTCTGATTCGGGAGAGCGAGAGCGAGAGAGAGAGAGCGAGCGAGCAAGAGAAAGAAGGAGAGAAAGAAAGAAAGGGCTGGAGGAGGAGAGGAAAGGAGAAAAAGGGGGAGGAATGCCCGTGGTCCACCAGCATACACCGCAACTTTTAGGGTTCCCCTAAGGCGCAGGAAGGAATTTCGCACGGACGAATAAAGCGACGTTGTAAGACGTCCATTTCTTTCAGCCGGAAATCAAAGTAACACCGCGTCTGATTTCCATGATTCTCGCGATTCGATTTGGTTTAAAAATTATCTATTCGTTCATTTCTAACCTGTCGCCCGTATAGTGATGGTAAGCATCACATCAACATGCATGGTAAGAAAGAATTTCTGAGAAACTTAGGTACATACAAAATACAAGTACAATATTTCAACATTTTTATATAATAATAAGACAGAAATTAAAAAATATATGATTGTAAATGTAAGTTTTGTATTATTCCGAGTGAATTTATTTAAGGTATGGATTTTTCTTTCTTCTTCTATTTAGATATTGTATCATCTATAAATAATTTTGTCTATCAACAAATAATTCGAAACTAACAATATGATGAAATAATCCTATATTTGCATTATTTTAAATTACATGCATTTATCGTTCATATTAAATATTATACAAGACTATAACAAAGGAAGGGTTCAGTGCGATTTTCCGCAAAATTCTTACAGGAGGAAGAATTTCGCGCTTCTCTATCAAAATTCGGTCAGGGTCGATCAGATAATTTGCTACCTGCCCGCCACCGGTGACTTAATTACTCTTTTTGCGCCCTGTAATTTTCGTTTCTACCTCTCGCGAACCCGTCCAGAACGAAAGCGTAAGCGTACTACGTGCCTCACGCTAGATCGCGTGGGTAGCTTGCGTCATTAAGGGTAGTAACTTGCGGTACCGGAATGGCTTTGGCTTCGGAGGAGAAAGTGGTCGGGTGTGGCCAGACATTGCCACTCTAGGAGACAATCTTTCTTCTTCTCCCTCTTTCTCTGTCCCTTTCTCTCTTTCAGACAGGTTTATATGTGTGTATATGTGTGAAAGAAGTCGTTTTCCTTTGAAGGACTCCGTGTTTCTCAATTGCTACCAAATTCTAAATTCTCTTTCGTAATAGATAATATAGATATGGAACCACTGAAAAAAAATTTCTAATTGAAAATAAACGAACCAAAAGATTCTGATTATACTAATAAAAAATTCTAGTTGTCCAAATTAGAATTATAATAGATTTAAAATATAGTAAAAGAAAGAAAAATCCATACCTTGAATAAATTCACTCAACTAATATAAAACATACGTTTACAGTCATAAATTTTTAAATCTCTGTCTCATTATTATAAAAAATATTGATGTTATATTTGTGTATGCAATATACAAATTAAATAAATTTCTTAGAAAATACTGATTTATTCATTTTTCAACAAGAATTACAATGCAACCAGACTCTTTTTTCAGTGATACATTTTGCTATTATTTCTATACATTTTACTATTATTTATCTTCGTATTACTGATTCATCGCGGAACGCTCGGTCCTTCGTGATCGAGGAAATTTCTCGTCTTCCTCGCGTTCTTGCGTGCGACACGTGCGAGCGGCGCGCACTAAGATCGCACGTGGGTGCACGCCAGTGCACGCGTCGCACGTCGCACGTCACGCGGACCGACGACGCTCGGAGTTGGTACGCGGCGCATTCGGTAGCACCGTAGCAGTGCCGCCGCCGGATCGAACGGCCGGGGTTCGACGAACTCTTTGTCTCGAAAACCGGACAAACCGTACGTTCGTACATACGTACGTCGGCCACCTCTGACCATGCCGCAATAGCGCCTAACATACCTCGCATTTCTTGCCTCTCCCGTGACAACGTGACGCCGTCGCCGCTGTCGCGTCGCGGCGATCTTCCTTTTCACCAAATCAAACTGAATCGTCTCGTTTCTAAGATTAGATGTGGTTATAGTAATAGAACTCGACTAAATTGAAACTATATTGTACCTATAAGTTCAATATTTATCTGTAACACAGTTATTACTGATGTTGGATCTGTAAGACTCAATTAATTTATATTAATTAAAAGACATTAATTAATTTCAAGTTTTAAAATTGTTGAGAGAGTGCTTTATTCTTGTTGAGATATAGTAAAAGATATAATCGTTATAAATAAAAAATTGATTAGACATATCTAAGTGAATATAAAATTCTAGAGACAAAATGAATTAAATTTTTAATTAAAAATCTTTACTTAGTTTAAAAAATATGTATAATTCATATAGAAAAGAATGAATGTACTTATTATATATAATTGTAAGTATATTTTATTAATACTTAAAGAATATTCCAAATTTGCAAATGTAACATAAAAATTAAATTATTTGACAAGCAGATTTAGAATGGAATGGATTCAATAAATTTACCATCAACTCCGGAAGATAATACTAATTTATTACTCATGTAATTGAATTCAACGTCATGGGAGAGAAAGGTTTCTGTATTCTTACTTCGCACGACAATTTCGTGTCTTCTCGTTTTGGGAAGGAACCGAAATTCCCCAGGACAATTGGTTGTAAAAATAAGCGTTTATTGTTACGAGATTTACTTACGGTATATATTCGCTGTTTTTTTCGCCGTTGTTTTTGCTGTTGCTGGTTCGCTTCGAACGCGAAGTCGGTGAGTACACCATTGCGGTCGGGTCCTCGCTTTTTAACCGCGGGCCCCTTTTTCTCGGGCCGATTTACGGCGCGATACGCGAGAAGGAATTACGCGGCGAATTTTTATGCTCGTTTTATTTTTTTTTTTTCCACGTACACACTTGCGCGCGGACATCCGAAACTGTGTATTCCGCAACAACGTCACGGATCACCGGCAGATTGGCAGGAAACATAAATATCGACCCTTCGAAAGTTTGAAGCCTGAATACGTTTCCCCCTTTTTACAGGAGGGACCCAACCCTTTTTAAACAGAATGGCGATTGCAATTTTGTGCATTTTTTGCAGAAACAGAAGGCTGTCATACCAGAAGACTAGTAATTCTACGTCGTTTTAAAGGATCACATTTTTAAATTAAGCTTTAGAGTCGTCGATTTGTCTATTCGTCTATTGGATCCACTGAATTATAAATCTCTTTATCAAAAATGTCAGACAATTCGATTTCCTTTGTTACGTCTGTTAATTTAAATTATTACTTATTAAAGTATACTTGGTATTCATTTCTTTCTTATATGAGTTATGCTATTTTAGTTTCTTGAAATTAATCAGTGACTTTTAATTAACATAAATTAAATGGGTCTTACAGGGCATCAGTAACTGTGTTATGATTTTGGTGTCAACTCCGGAGGGTTAATTTATAACTTAATTGGTTAGAGAGATTTAAAACAGCTGCTGTTCAACAATAAATTGAATAATAAATTAGCTGGTATTACACTGTATTTCTTGAAATATCTATTTGAAAGGAAGGATAAATCTCGTTGAAAGATAGTTTCGATGACTGCAATCCTATATGAAATGAATTCCATGAAAAGCTTCTGATTAGCGAACATCCGTCCTCGGACGTGACCCTGTGCCATCCTTTGAGATTTCAGACGATTCGTTCGTTGAATATTCCCTCCCAATCCCTCTTCCCTCAGTCTCGTCTCTATACCTTCTCGCCTTTCGTTCGAACCTCGGCGAACCTCAGGCCATTGTTAAAACTTTTTCGAGGTTATTACACGTGAGATATGTAAATGCGTCGCCGGTCGGGGTCGGTCCTCGACGTCGAAGGACCAGCTCCACCAGGTCGTTTCCACTCACTCTTTCGGACTCTTCCTCGCTCTCTCTCCTGGTTCCTTTGCTCTGCTCAGCAGGGGCGGATCGGACTGTAGCATAGCAGATAATTCGCAATCTTGTGCAATTCCGTACATGGTTAGCTCTCATTACAGTCAGGCATGAGAATTCGAATCCTTCGTTTGAAAACCTTTAAACGATTTTAATCACATAAAAATTCGAATAACTTGAAATAATTTCGAAAAAACTTTAAATGGTCTCAAAAGTTTCGAATGTCTTGAATTTCTCGAAAATCTTGAACGTTTAAAAAAATCTTCCCTTGAAAATGTTTAAATATATCTGAATCGGTCGAAATTCTTAAGAATTGTCTATGCGATATAAAATTAGTTATTTAACATTAAATTAATATAAACAGTCTTTGAGTTCATTTAATAGTCGAAATAATTTACAAGTATTATCATCTATTCAAAATAATCTTTGGTGCCTGTAATTCCTGTCTCCTCCTTGAATTTATTTACAAATTCAATGAAATTAACACGTTTCTCAGAAAAGTATCCATCTACAAATTTATATCGTTTCTGAACAACCCAACAAAAGTTTCATAGGGGGATTCAAAACATCCGATAGCCAATCATCAACCACTCATTCACCGCTGTCGTATAAATATCCTTGGACAAGAATACAACTGATATTGTGTTCCATACGCGTGTAACGATACCTTCTTCCTACGCCTGGATTGATATTATTTAATCGCACACGGTGCGTCGTCCGAGATGGAATTTCTTTTCAGTATCCGCTCCTGCTCCTCACCATCGCCACCACCGCCGCCTCTGCATCGTCATCACCATCTCCCCGACTTCTCTGTAACGGATAGGCCTCACCTCCAGAACGGAACTGACTCCAGTTTGCTTTCGGTTTGGCCATCGCGAATGCCAGCGCGTCGAGCTCAGTAACAGCGTGGCATTCACGACGTGCGCTTCGCTGATCGCCGATCACGCGATCGTCGTCCTCGCCATTCCGGATAAAGTTCCCGGTGAACCAAAAGCGATCGCCTGGTCCGCACCGTTCTAGTCTAATCTTAGAGCAAAAAAGATCGAAAGGATACACGCACGCGAAGGACGAGGCTCCTGTGACGAGTGGATCGAATCGGGATATCGCATGTGACCGGATTGGAAGGAATGAGTCCAAATAATTCGACGGATCCACGACGGAAAAGCTCGATGTTTAAAAAGAGCCTGTAAGAGTCCTCTCTCTTAATCCATACAGCATAGAAGTTTACCGCAACAATTTGAACGTTATTACAATTTTGCTAGAACATTATGCAGGGTTGCTGAAATAATATCTGTGCTGTATGGGAAAGAATTCTTTCCTCAAACGAAACAATTCAATTGTTCCATTATTAAATAATTAGCTTAACGTATGCGAATTTTAGTAGATGTATGCACATTATTACATCTCCAAACAAATTGTTATTACGTGCTTTTCTGTTTCAATCAACGGTACTCGTACTTATAAACGGATCATGCTGTGATCCTTAAGAGTAGTGCTGATTATAGTGCGATTAACTATAATTGATTTTACCGCAGATCTTAATTGCCATGATCGAAACTTCACCCTAAAAAAATGTGAATGTGCATTTAACACTATGCGGTATTTAGGTATATAATTCTCATCGTGTTGATATTAATATTAACATAAATACGGTGTGGATTTCAAACTACCATGAGTTTTAAATCCACCCCATGTTTATGTTGACATAAACACTAACACGGTGAGAATTATATAGACATCGCATGCCGTTAAATCCACACCCATATTTTTTAGAGTACATATTAATCGAAAATCGAGATCGATAATGAGAAAGACCGGATTAAACCGATCGCACGAACGGACCATTCTTCTTCCGTTTTGGCGCGAAGCTGAGCCTGGCGCTCTTTACTCGATTCTCGTCGGGTGTTTCACTGCGTCCGTGCTTCACTCTACTTACCAAGGCTGACCCTGTTCGTAATAATTAATGGCGTTAGACCGGGCGAGTGCGTGGCGGCGGTTTACTCATGCCTGGACCCGACGATAAATACGTACGGACCGGGTATCCGTTTGCGTCCGCGGGTAATGCCATAGCTCGCCTGCTCCTCCGGTTATTAAACAATTTCCGCGCAATTGAACACGCTCGTAATTAACGACGTTGTAATTAACGGCGTTAGCGCATGCAGATCGCTGGTGAAGTTATGTACCTATATGGCGCTGGACGCGAGGCGCGGTCTAATTGATCATTAACACCGGGGGATCCATCGATCTCTCTGCTCTTCTTCGCTTTCAGTCCCGATTTCGTCGGATATTACGTTATTGTAAACAGCGAGGTCTTTAAAAACCCGGAACATCACTCACGGATCGGTTCAAGTCTCATCAGATCGTAATACGTCCGAGAAAAGTTGATACACGTCTCTGATAGCCTCGATGTGCACTGGGATGATATGATTGAAAATATTCGAAAGGCTCGAGCGTGTTTAGCCACACGAGCGAATTTGACACGCGAATGTAACGGAAGGGAGATCATAAATCATTAATGTGATCCGACATTCCTTCGTTAATGAGATCTCCTTCTTTATGAGATGAAGCCGGAGTCGGTTTTCCCAAATGTTGAACATCAAGAGCAGCTAATTAATAAGCTTTACGGTTATATAGCGGCTTGTTTTTCAATTAGCTTTAAATGGATTCTATATAATTGATCCATTACTGAGACAAATAAGTTTCCGAATGCTTGGAAACTAGGTCAAGAAATAACAAAAGGATGTACAAAGTAAGAAAATATATCTCGAAAACTACATGGTTTATCTTTCAATGCGTTATGTACCGCGGGAATCAACAATAACCCACGCTAATTTCCTAACTTTTCATTCGTTTGATATATCGACTATAAAAGGAAACATAATTATGAAGTAATATTTGATATTATACGTAATTTTGAAGCAATATTGGTACATTAAGACTTCTTTGTAATAATAATAATTATTGTAACCATTATAAAAAATGCATGTTATTTAGATAATCAGCAAACAAAAATACTGGTAATCCACACGACAGTAGTATGTAGTCAAATCATTTAAAATTGATCCATCATGGAACGTTAACAAATTATCTCTATTAAGAGAAAAATTATGTAGTATTTTGCTTACTGCCTATATCTTATCATTTTTGCAAAAAATCCTAGGAAACCTTATTTAAACAACGTTGCAATTTAATAAAAACTCTATCTATATTTACAGAAATTTGTTAATAAAAAATGCTCGCGTGGGGATCAATTTGATACTAAATTTAAATTTATTTATGTTTTATACCTAAATTTTTTAATTTTTATTTATAAGCTATTTATAAATTAGTACATTTATGTTTTAAACATGAAATAATTGTCGAGCGCGTTAGAAATTAAAAGAAAATCTATATCTTTTAAATCTTTTTGTAGTAATATTATATTTTCATTCGTACGTCCAAATGAGTTCGATCCCCACGCAAGTATATATTAGGTGTTAAACTTAATTCCTGCCGTGTTTCGTCTCCAAAATTGATTTGTTTCGGAGGGAAATACCTTAATCAAAGTATCATTAATAAAGTATTATTAATTAGTAATAAAGTAGAAAATGGAGGAAATTACTTCGATTAAGGTATTCATTCACCTTCCCTTCGAAACAAATCAATTTTGGAGACGAAAAACGGCAGGAACAGTTTAACACCTAATACTTACGGGTTAAGAACTCGATTGTGTAGGAACAGGGCGAAGGGACCGATCAACGTGCATGGGCAAAGTGTCGTTTAATCACGAGTGTGGTTTTACAGGCGCAGCCGGTGAACCCTAACCGAGACCACGAGCACGGGTGCGTGACTGCAAGAATGCGCGCACGCAGGAGACGGTGCACGATGTCCCGGTGACGACGGCGGTCACGATTGTGATCACGAGCACGACCACTCACGTATACGCACGTGAGCTCGCGCGTACGTATTCACGCACGTGTACTCACGCGAGGGGGGAAAGAGAGAAAAAGAGAAAGAGTGAGGGAAAAAAAAGAGAAAGAGAGCCATAAACAGCCGCCGATGCCGCAATGAGGCTAGGCCCGATTATCCTGTCGTGGGCCACGGCCATGGCCGGCTGGTTGGGTCCATCGAGCGGAATCACGGCGACGGCGATGATGACGTCACGGGCCCCACGCTCTCGGGATTACGAACTTTCGACGGAGTTTTTCCTGGTGCCGTCCGAGATCGGGCACGGGCTGGCGAGCGTGGCGAGCGTCATCAGCGTGCCGGCACCGAACCGGACGATCACCGTCTTCAGGACGCCGCCGGGCGTCAGGAAGAGCCAGGAGGTGGAGATGCGGCCGACTCCGAAGTCCCTGTTGAAGCAACGGCCCTGGGCGCTGCCACTCGCCGCGCTCAGCGCCGCGGCGATGCTCCTCATGGCCGGTTTCGAGGTCTTCGTATTGTTCAAGGTAGCTCCGGCGTTATTTAATAATTAATGTATATACATATTATCTCTTTGTTCGCTCGTTATATGCTTTTATGAACTCCAGCTTCTCGCTGGAGGGAAAGTGGATTACATCCCAGAACGGACAATGAATAATGAGCTTTTGTCTTTACTTTTCTCTCTGCAGTGAATATTTCCTGAAATATTTTATGACGGGTTATATGAGTATATGGAGATTTCACGCGCCAGAATGATCTTTTAATACTATGTATCTTCGTAGTCTGTTTTGCAAATTATACATCTCTTGATTTATTAATCGTTTGAAAATCTGATGTTAATCTTTCTTTACTTGTTTTTTGAGCCATTAAATGATGTCTGCTTTAAACACGCAAATCTATTTTTCGAAACATTCCGCTCATTTAGTTCAGTTTATACTCAATACGCTCACCCCACATAATTATGCTACCTGTCTATCGCATGTCTACTTGCTATATATTTTTTATAATCATTATGGAAATTTATTCTCAGTTTTATTCTAGAGAGCGTAATATTGACACCCGTTCACTCTCTCGATGTCTTCATTTTATTTTTCCAAGTCGATCGTATGAAAAAAATGTGCGTATCGGAGTAGTATTGAGGAGGAAACTGGTGAAATGGAATGTGTTAATATCTGCATGACTTGTCACTAGACGATCGCGCGACTGCGAGATTAATAGAGCTCGGAAAGGAACTATCGCGCGTCGGCCTCTCCCCGCCGACCCACTATTAATCGTTTTCGTTTCGACAAGCTCCAGTAACCGGCACCGAGGGAATTTCGCCGAGACCTAGGCCCAGTTTACGCTCACGTTAGATCGGCTTCAGTTTTCTCTCGGTCGCACCCTCCGACACGCTTCATTGAGCACTCTCGGAGAGAGACCAAGTCAACCATTGCTGTCGGATTAATTGGTATCGGAAATTCGGGATTTCGATTTAAGAGAAAGTAAATCGAGAACGAATGAAGGATAAAAATCAAGTTTCATTAATATGGTGTATGTACAGCAATTTATGAAGTTTATTAGAAATTTTGAAAGTCTCGAAAAAATTCACTCAAAAGTTTAGCGTTTTATTTACAAGTTATATTCCTAGATAGCACGTTCGTTTAAAATTGGAACATAAAACATCTTATGTCTCAATTCTGGACGTGCTGTCTGGGTTATTCTTTTCTCTCCCTGATGAAAATAAAAATCGGAGCATAGATCGGATATAGTGGGAGAGTAACAGAAGCGTAAACAAAACTTCTAGAAGGCGAAAATTAGAACGTGAAAGAAGTATTTATGCTTCTTTTACATTTTGATGTTTCAATTTTCGCATCTTAAAAGATTCGTTCTGTTACTCTCCCATTACATTCGACTTACGCTCCGATTTTTATTTTCACCAGGGATCTTTCTTTGTCTCTTTCTCTATAATTATAAATATTTATTTAAAAATATAATGATTCTCAATTCTTCAGTGTTCATTTATTATGTATAAAAAAATATGAAATTTCAGTAATACAGGGTAGTAAAAAGTATGAAAAATAACCTATTAATTTGTAAATAAAAAGTAAGTTAGCGAGAAGAAGAATATCGATTATTTTAAATAGAGAAATTAATATCCATCTTATATGTGAGTTTCAAGTTTAATCCATGCATAATTATAACGCGTAAACGGTTACGGTCCAATCCACGCGATTCGCATTTTGCGTCTCGATCCTCTTTACAGAATTAATAGCGTGAGAGCGATTTAGAGATCGGTACTTCTAGGGCTCTTGAAAATGCACTCTTGTATCTTGCAGAGTAATATGCGTCAAAACACCCGAGCGTATCCAACTCGATGAAAGTGCATTTTGTACTTTAAATGTAAATGTACAGTACAATAAAGGTGCAACTTCAGCAGCTATAAGCTATAAGTTCGAAAATCAATTAATTAGAACGCGTTAATATCAACATATCGATATTATAATGCTACAGTTGCAACGAACAAAGCTATCGAGATAGCAAAATGAGAAATGTTAATGTCTTATTTAAATATCTCGGTTTATATATCTTGGTTTCAGTACTAATAAGATCAGTTTAACATCTAACTTTGACTACAATTGGCACTTTTCGTATTTAGTTAAAAGTTTTTGAAATCTTTTTTCGTTTTTTAAGATTTAAATTAAAAAAATTTATTTTTTTAATATTTTTTTTTGACGCTTTACATAATTAACGACTTTATAAGCATTTGTCTTGACAATCGGTTCGTATAGATTGCTTTAGATTGAGCAAACCATGAATTAGAAAAATTTTTCAAATATAAAAAAAGATGTCTGATGTATATATTCGAATAGCTAAATTAATGACTGTATACAGCACAATCAATGAGGTGCAGTCAATGAGATTTTCTTCGCATGTGTCACTGATATCATTTTGAAATCTTATTCAAAGAATTGGCATAATAAACACAAAAAGTTATAGTTATAACGACCATTTGTTTAAATTACAAAATAATTATTTTTATCACTCTGAAAGAATATTTTTAACGGCACTGTTCTAGGCTAGAACAACGGCACCGAACAGACGACACTTGTTCCTGGGCCAGGCATTGCTTCTGGGCCTCTTCCTTTTGGCGGGTCTTTCAGCTGCGGCCTCTCTCAGCCAAAATCCGCTGTCCTGTGCCGCTTTCCGGTTGGTGGGACTCCCCGCCGCCCTTGTGTTCGCCGCTCTGCTGGTCAAATGCGTTTTCCTGCTTTCGTTGAATAGCGGCGTGTACTTGCCAGCGCCCTATCAGGTGAGCAATCACATACAGAGTATTCCTGATTTATCGATTAATTTAGCGTTCGTTTTTGCATTTTACAAATTCAGAAAATACTACTTTTCCGAGCAGCACAAAAGTCAACAAAAAATTAAAACAATTTTATTTTGATTAATAAGATTTTATTCGGACCGACAAGAATTAAACACTAAGTATACGAATATTCAAGCCTATGACGGTCAAAGCTAGATCTTTTTTTGCCTAAACAATTCCCAGTGAATTATCTATATCCTATATATATATACATGCATATATATCATATTTTTGTAATTATTCAAACTGTGCGCCGAAAATTTTTCGGACTCTATCTAACGCAATTAAACTACTGTAATAATATCACAAGTTAAATTAAATTGACAATGTGCTGACAAAAACCTTAAATAAATTTATTGCGAAAAATATTACCTTTCGTACCTTTATAACGCAATTTGAATAACTACAAAAATATGATATATATACATGTACATATATAAGATATAGATAATTCACTGGGAATTGTGTTTAGGCAAAAAAAAATCTAGCTTTGACCGTTGTAGGCTAGAATATTCTTATACTTAGTGTTTATTTTGATTCTCAACGTCATTAAACAGTCAAATTTTGTAATAAATCATCATTTTTTTACTACAAAAATATGATATATATGCATGTACATATATAAGATATAGATAATTCACTGGGAATTGTGTTTAGGCAAAAAAATCTAGCTTTGACCGTTATAGGCTTGAATATTCTTATACTTAGTGTTTATTTTGATTCTCAACGTCAATGGACAGTCAAATTTTGTAATAATAAATCATCATTTTTGGACTTTCATGACGTTAAAATAAAATCATTTTGACTTTCTCTTAACTTGACGTGTTCCTTGGATTCTAATAAAGCCCGATGATACCTTGGCTTTATTTCTCATGTCAATAATTATTTTGATAGAACATAATTTGAAGCTTATTAAAATAATCAGTATGGAGAATCGAAAGTTAAAAAGATATCGAGGAATTTAAATCGGTCAAAGAAGTGGCGAAATCATTTCGGAACTCGCGAAGTGACGCGAAGAGAAGACACGTATATCGATAAAACATGTCACGCGCGACTATAATCAAAGTAGGCGAGATGCACAAAAATATAATAAATTACAATGTCATTTTATTGGTCTCCTACGAAAGGAGAAACTCCGCGCGAACGATTTCCGCCGTATCCGCAACGATCCGGATGTTCATCTCGCATAGCCATTAGTATGTCGTAAACGGGTCCCGGATTCTACCATCACCCTTCTCCCATCGCCTTCCCTTTTTCATAGCGTTGCGTCATCGTACCGTACGCGCGACGATTAATTACGGACGCGCGCGCGCGAAAAAGCACGGAGGCAATTATCGCGACGGTGTGTTGGTGCGTACGCTGAATGACAGGCGTGGCAGGACGTGCGCTTCTCGCCCTGCGGAGGCCTCCTCCCCATAGGATAAACATCCATTTTTCATGTTCGACGTGCTCCCGCCTACCCCGGCGCCTCGCTCGGTGCACCTAGAGATCCTCGAGTAACAGATTGCTGGACACGATACGTTTGGTCCGCCATATTTTTCAGGACCTGCTTAAGACAGAATAAGATAGATTATGCATAAGATGGAATAGATAAAGATATCCACGCATCTATCTCATTTTATCTTTAGCGTCCTGAAAAATATGACGGACTAATTAGAAGTTGTCTAAATTGTGTTCGATCTTTTTACTTGAGAATTTCTAGGATTGCTTTTATGAGGAAAACTCTTTTAAAAACGTGCACAAGAACGAAATCAGGACGGTATGTCCGCGCTGGCATGATGCGTTACTCGGTGAAATGTAATTGCATTCGCGTAATTAAGAACGTTGCCGTTGAAATGTTTGATTAGAGGAAAGTGATAACTGGACGTTACGCGCGAGTGACATTAATAGGATTTTAACGACGCAATTATAGCTGTTGTATAATTTTGTCGTATCTTTAAGAGGGAGAGTATATAAGAGTGCAGATTAAATTTGAAAGACTGAAGAAACTTGTAAATGTTTCATGCATATCTCTCGAGTAGACTATTCTATTTCTAATATGTCACGAGCGTTTGACGTCACGAGTTAAAAGAATGCACGCCGGCGGTGCCGATGTCACCGCAGGCCGTTCACCTTTAATTAAAGGCGATCGACCAGGGGTAGACGGCCGCGTGAATCTTATAGAGGGGAAGTGTAATCGTGCGAGGGCCTTTCTTGTCTCGGTTCTCGATGCTGCAGGCGCTGGTGCTGGTGTTCGCGGTGTTGGTGCAGGTGGTCATTGTCGGGCAATGGTTTTACGGCGAACCACCTGCGGTGATCCAGGTGCAGCAGCAGCAACAGCAGCAGCAGCAGCAACAAGCGACGGGCCAAAGCTCACCGGCGTCCACCACCTCCTGCAGGACTCCGCTTGGACAGATAGTGGCTTCCCTCGGGTAAACTTTTGCTGATATAAAACTCTCTTCCTTCTCTCCAATCCCCGAGAAGGAAAGCGTCGAATCATCAAGTCGATCATGTTCATCTATTATCCTCGCGAAGCCAAGATAAAGCGTGTTAATTCACATTATTTCACCTTCCGAAGCCGACACTAAAATCTGTAACAATTACTGCTTTAGTGCTTTAGAAAAAAATGTTTTGTTCTAGGAATGAAAATTTTGCTGTAATACAAAAATCTGATTAAAATGTATTGTACAAAACTATAATTTTATGCAAACTAAATTATTCAGTTGGTATAAATAAATATTTTTGTTATTTATAAAGCAGAAAAGTGCGTTTTATGGAAACAACTAAATTTTTTGTTATATAAACAAAATTATTGTTGTTCAATAATTTGATTGTTGTTAAAAATTGTTTTAATTAAACAGTTTTGTTGAAAGCACTAAATTTTTGTTCTAGTATGATACTGAATGGTGAGTCTGTAAAACCTACTTAATTTATGTTAATTAAAAATTAAAAGGCACTAATTAATTTTAAGGAACCAAAATAATATAACTCGTACAAAAAAGAATGAAATAATGAATACTATAAGTATATAAAGTAGGGATAAACCTGTAGAAACCCTAGTACAATCAGATAGGAAATATTTCTTATATAAAAATAAGTCGAAAGTGTAGAATAAACATTTATCGTTCGAGACTCTGTTTCTGAGAAAATCAAGTTTGAAAAATCGCGTCGAGTGCACGTGCACTTAATGAAGATACGGTTTGTGGAAAGGTACTGTGAAGTCAGAGTCCATGAATCCGTAATTCAACGAGCACGTTTGCTTACGGCAGTAAGAATATTTTTAGCAATTTCTCTCTTAATGATAATGATAAATATAAATAAAATATAACTATTTGTCACATTTTCTTTAATCCTGCCACTCGGTGAAGTCATGTGGATGTTACGTAAACATGATAACGTTTACAATGTAAGCCCCACCCTGTATTTTAATAAGAATAATCCAAATATGCGGATGTAACATAAAAAATTAAATTGTTTGATATTTTTAAGAGATTGATAATTGAGTAGGTCTAATTAGACTCACATCATTCCGAAGGATTATTTTTTCCGCTATTATTCTGTAATTTTTTAATCTTTAATACGTACCACGTGGATAACTGAAGGTTGATCTTTTCATTCAGGTTGTTTGATATTTTGACAACAAAAAGGAACTTTTAAAGTAAAATAATTTGAAATTATAAAAAGTAATAAAATTATAGAAATTATAAAATAATTTTTAATATGATACTTATATATGATTATGTGATATTTGATGCAGTATTGGTACATTAGACCTTTTTTATAATAATAATTTTTATAATTTTTTAAATCGAATATAATAAATAAAAATAAAAACATGAGTTACCACGCGGCACGATGTCAAGTCACACTTAAAAATTGGCCCGGCACGGAACATATTAATGTCTTTCATACTTTGATCAAATTTTTCAAATTAATTATTATTGTCAAGATGCACACACAACTCAGCGCGATAATTTTCGTAACTACTTTCGCTACAGGTGAACGAAACTCATCTTTCCTATAATCTTCTTCACGTTCCAGGTATCCCGGAGCACTATTAGTAGCAGTGGCATGTTTAGCGATCCGTGCGCGAGGCGTCCGGGATAATAATCGGGAAGCGGCCTTCATCGGCCTGGCGGTCGGCCTCTCGCTGCCGATCTGGATCTCCAGCGGGATCGGTACGCTCGCGACCGGCAGCGAGGGTGATCGAGAGGCCTGGCTGGCCTATGGTCTGCTCGCCACGTCGCTCTTCGTCTTCCTCACGATGTTTCTACCGAAGGGACGCCAACTGGCTGCCCTAGGTCGCGAAGGGCCCACCGCAGTCATTCGCGATCACGACGATGCCCTCAGTTCCCTCCCCGGTAGTGGCTATTCGCCCTCCTTCTTCCACTTCAAGCCCGCGGAGGCATCCCTGAAGAGGAAAATGCATTACCATAGTGCCGGTACGTCGCCCTTTCAAATAAACCCGGCTTTTTTTATTCCTGCATTAGACTGCACTAAAACTCTTCCTCGCCAAATGTCAAACGTATTACTTCCCAAGTAGAACACAAACAAAAGTCATCATAAGGATATTCCATCGTGACTTTTGTCTCTTACGAATTCATTTTTAAGTGACAAATGACGTCATAATATCTACCATTATGACTTAATTATGATTGTGTTCTACCTGAGCTGTTTCATTTTAAATTCCAAAAGTTTGTTCTTATAGGTGTAGAAAACAAACTTACGGACAACGAGATTAAAGTCGTTTACAATAATGAACAGGAGATGTGCAACAATATTATTGCGACGATCTCTCTCTCTCTCTCTCTCTCTCTCTCTCTCTCTCTCTCTCTCTCTTTGCTCATCCGAATATTCAAGTTTCACGATTACACTTCTCGGAGTTGCAGCGCGCAACGTGTTCCGATTCGTTTGCTCGATACCCGCAAGATAGATCTTCAGGTCATCGCGCGGTAGCCGCTAAGAGTGCGGACAACGTAATCGCGCGCCAAATAACGGAAATGCGGTCACGACCGGCGGAATCGGCGGCGCGTGAAACGTGAATAATTGGATAAACGAGAAAGTAAATAAACGGAACGCGTATTTTCAACGTTTAAAAAAATAGAGCAGCAATTCTCGCGATCGATGACGCGAAAACTTTCGCGATCGCGATAATTGCGCGCGAATTAGGAGAATGCATTGCGTGCAAATGTATGATGCGTGCCACTACCTACTTAAGAATCAGCCCTGGTAGTATAACTCATTGGTTAAACATTGGTTATATTGACATGGTCAATGTTGTCCAATATAAAACCAATATTAATTAAATTCGGTGTTAATATAAAACGCAAAACGTTTATTTTACAAGATCGAGTGAATATTGCAGGTCAATTTATAGTCATTAATATTACGCCAATAATTTGTGCTGCTAGGAAAGTTGCAAATAGATATGTAATCGAAAATCTGATGTCCTTTAAACCGTAATGTCAAGCAAGAGGTAGAAATAGTCAGCTTAAATCAAACGTGATTAACTGGCAATTGGCTATGACGGTTGTCTCTATAGAGTAGATGGTAATGCCATCGCGTAATTCGCGTAATCATTTCCTCTCTTATCTCTCCTCCCTCCTCCCGAGATTATCATAACGTGGAAACTTCTAATTATAGATCGAGTCGCACTGGTCTCGTCCGGGATACCCGGATGCAGCGCCTGCAGGCACGGAGGAAGTCCCATATACTCAGACGGTAAGCCGTCATTATTTATTTTCAGAATCGGTCGACCGATTATTATTACGTGCCGTATGCAAAACTACCCTATTGCGCATCGTAACGTATCCCGCAAAGACCCCGTTGTAAATGCCCTGGGACATACATTTTCGCCAATTAGGTACGTTGTCGGCGTCCTTCGCGTCACGCAACGGCATGGGCACAGGAAGACCTGTCACAGGACACTGACATCAATCCGAATAATACGTTGTAATTAGCGTAACAATCTTAATCCTTTCACGTTCAGCAAAACATACATATCCCAGTGTATAATTGAGAAAAATCATATTTCCATTTATTAAATATTGAATCGCTAAGATTAAATAAAGATATTAGAAGGGATTGTTTTTAATCGTAATTAAAAGATTTGTGATAAACTAACAATTATTTGCATATAGTGAAGTGGAAATTTCTTGGATCAATCGTAAAAGTTTTAAAATAGTGTTACTTTCACATGAAAGAATATTATTCTGATAACATGAATTTCTAATAATATTTATATTATGTACAGTATAAATTAAACTGTCGAACGTTATTATATTTCCTTATCATAATATTATTAATACTTGCAGATACATGATGAAAACTTTTACACCTTGTTAGTATAATTCTTATTAAATAAATTAATAAGATTCAAATCATATTTCCAATTATTAAATATTGAATCGCTAAAATTAAATAGAAATATTTTTAGAAAGGATTGTTTTTAATTATAATTGAAAGATTTGTGATAAACTAACAATTATTTGCATATAGTGAAGTTGGAGATTCCTTGGATTAATAATAAAAGTTTTGAATAGTACACGGTGTTACTTTCACATAAAAGAATATTATTCTGATAATATGAATTTCTAATAATATTTATATTATGTAAAGAATAAATTAAACTTTCGAACATCATTATATTTCCTTATCATAATATTGTTAATGTTTGCAGATACATGATGAAAACTTTTACACCTTGTTAGTAAATACATTAATAAGATTCAAATCATATTTCCATTTATTAAATATTGAATCGCTAAGATTAAATAGAAATATTTAGAAAGGATTGTTTTTAATTGTAATTGAAAGATTTGTGATAAAGTACCAACAATTATTTGCGTATAGCAAAGTTGGAGATGCCTTGGATCAATCATAAAAATTTTGAAATAGTATACAGTGCTTTATTTTCGCATAAAAGAATATTATTCCGATAATATGAATTTCTGATATTTATATTATGTGAAGTATAAATTAAACTTTTGAACATCATATATTTCCTTATCATAATTATTATTAATACTTGCAGATACATGATGAAAACTTTTGCACCTTGTTAATTCTTATTGAATACATTAACATATATGTAGTTCTTATTAATATATATTTTATTATATTTTTTATTTCGTTTGATAAATATATATATATATATACATCTTACAATCCTAAAAATATCTCAATAGAGAAACTTTTATTACAATGTAAAGATATTTTATGTTTTGCATCTGCTATATTAGATTCATTATTTTAAAATTTTATGTTTTTATATTTGTAACAATTATATAGAAAATTTTAAAAATAATTAAACTAGATATGCTCTTCTTATCGAAAAAATTAGACATGAAAGAGTTAAATTTGATTATTATCTTGAAGATTAGAATTTCGAAAGAAAACGTTAAAACGGGATAACCTCATCACGTCGTTATCTGTGCAACATTTTTCTCATCTATTCTTAATCTTCGGCTGAGAATGCGAGAGACTTGCTTAAGAACACATCTTTATTTTCCTTCACCGAGAGTATTCGCTGTACGTCGGTATCACGTGTATCGTCCGCAGAATCTCGACACTTCCTGTCCTGCCCGCGCATTTCCTGGCCCGAAACTTTTCCTTCGTCACGCTAACGCCCTCGACGACCTTCACCTCGAGGTGCGAACGAACGAAAGGGAGGAAAAACGGCGGAAGGAATGGGGGGGGGGGAAGACGTCGCACGGAGAAAAGAGAGGGAGAAAGTCCGAGGCGGAGGTCAATCGCTTCTTGCTTGCAACAATGTTGGAGACGCGGGGGAGGGAGGAGAAATCCCGTTAGATTGGACCATGCCCTCGTGAAACGACGACGCCAATCGTGATGACAAAAATCGCTAAAGTGAGATAGAATGAGCGCGACGGATCATCTCGCTCGTTCGCGATCGATACTTCGCGGAGACTCGGAGCGGCTATTCCTCGTCTTTCCCTGTCTTTCCCCGTCCGAGAAAATCCAAGTTTCCAGATATATTTCCCTTTAGAGAGAATAACAACATTAGCGGGAGTTTCACACTTTCTAGAGACACATAATGGAAAAGCGCGCGCGCGCGCGTACGAGTTTCTAGATCCTATTCAGCTCTATTCGAAGGGAACGTGCTATTGTAACCAGGTCGCGCCGTTACTCAACGTGTTACAGACGCGAGCCAAGTGTAAATGGACAATTAAAAAAAGAAAAAAAGAAACAAATGAAAAGGAAGACGAGAAAGAAAAAGTCTCCCGTCGATGCGAATCGCGATCATTTCTCAAACGCGCGCACGTTTGTACAACATGACGACGTAGATCATAGCTGGATCATAAATCACAGCTGGATGACTTTCACCTACGCGCGATACGCATTTACGTTAAAGACCCCGACGCGTGTCCATTCAGCGAGGAACGACGTAGGCACTTTGTAACGATCGTGTACTCCAACGGTCGCGGCCGTTAAACCATATACGATCTTAGCGTTGGATCTTCGAGAAATCGAGAAACACGCCACTTTCGCCCGAGGATTCGATAACGGCCCTGTTCTCGTAAAGAGCAAGCAATTTCTCGCGGACGTTATTCCGTCGATAAGCTGTACACGCATCTCCCAACGCGATACGATTTCTTTGCGTTTCTTGCAAGGCTCGTTATTACGGGCAAGGCGTGAAATGTGCAAGAGATTACGAGAGAGGCGAAGGTCGCTAGCCTCTTCAGACTAGGTACACCGAGCTGGTTCACGACCCTCATTACGCGAAGCACGACATCTCCCTGACAGAAGCTTCCTTTATCATTAGAGTCCGTAACGCGTAACGCGACACAAGTAGACACCAGGAAAATATCTTAATAAAAGTAGTAATACAACTTTTGTTTTTATTCGTTTTGGAATATATCGATATTATGACGGCATTATACGGCAAATGGAATATTTTCATTTAATATATTACATTTCGTATTGTATGAAAAGATTATCGCAATTATTCGAGTTGTCTATGTACAATTTCGAATAACCAGATTTCACTAAAGCGAGAAAGAAATATTACAATCTGAGTACGAATGAAAGTTACGATAGTAATTTTAACAAAAATGATGATTACAACGATGTTGTACATATAATTTGTTATACGTTCACAATTTTTTAAATGCAGCATAGTTTAAAATACTTGTATAACTTTTCACAATATGCACTGTAATCTTTGCTAATGTAATAAAAAATATGTAGATATATACATATACAGTGAGAGCAAAAAGTATTCGTACAAGGAAATTTGTTATTAAAAAAAGTCTTATTTGTAGAAAATAAACATTAATTAGCAATTTTATATATTCTGTTCTAATATAAACAAATGAGATTCGCATGTATTCCTTATTTTAGAAGCTAAATTTCTCGTCTGTACGAATACTTTTTGAGCATTCAAACAATACAATTTTTAATTTTCGCTTTTTTAGATGATATATTTTCTATAATTAATACACATCTTTTGTATATATAATTTTAAGAAACAGTCTATTTTATTCTTTATGAATAAATTGTTAATTATCCAACAAGAAATGATCGTCAATTAAACATCGATTCGACGTCAAATTGAGTTGGAATTGTCGTATTTATATCGATTCGACATCAATTCGATGACTCATTTCTCGCTGGATAATATTTACTTTTTAAAAATAAAGTTTTTTTAAAAAATATTTTCTCTGTACAAATACTTTTTGCACTCACTGTATGTATAATTTATTTCAATTATTATTATATTAATATTAATATAACATATCGATTGCCATAGTGATGAATAATAATGCCGTTATATTCAACAAAGTATTATAAAAAAATATATTTCTTATACAATTTATATTTCTATTTCACTTTCTCTCTTCTACTATGATATTTTCTCCATAAAGAAAACAATACAAAAGAAAGAATGTAACATCAAAATGTAAGGGAAAAGAAACTTCTGATGAATTCTTATGAAAGAAACAAATGTATCTGTAAATTTACACTTTCTTCCTCTAAAGATAATTTTGTTTAATTGTTTAAGAAATTATGTTAAGAGCGTATTGATAGCAGAGTGTAATTATAGATTAGGCTACATGTGTCGAGGACAAAGACGAACTCGCGTAATCTTGTAACGACAGCTGCGAACAACGAGACCTACTTTAAGCCGACGATTTTAAATTACAGTCGCTCTTAACGCGTGCGGCGTAACGAGGGCTTCGTCCCGGTTATGCACAACGTGATTTCGATTCCTGTGTATATCTCGATATTATAATTCAGTTATTATCATGAGGCGAAAATGATAGCCACTAGACACACGGCATGGAAAGTTACGACCGGATATTCGCTTCTCCGATTGATACCAAATAATAAAATTTCATTTCCGATGGACATAAACGCGAGGCGATGCCGTAAAGATGATTCGCTCCAATTTTCCATCAGTCTTGGATATTTTCTCTTTTACACTAAATTAATTATTCACAGTAAACATCGTCACAAGAAAATATTTAGGATAAAGCGGAATAATTTAGGTTGATTAACAGAAATTTTCAAATTGTATGAAAGATTGAGGTCACATAATGCATTCGATCAAACATACACTATTGGTGTGTTCTTTATGTTTAATTTTAATGATTACAACTATACGACCTCAATTTTTCATACGATTCGAAAATTTCTGTTAACTATTCAAATTATCTGTACTTTTATCCTGTACTCTTATATTATTTCCAGATGTACATGGACCGATGGAGACGTTCGTTTTGCCACCCGGTATGTACTTGAGGCCGGAGGATGCTGGGAATCTCTACACGACCTTGTCGGCCAATCCCAACGTGTTCTTCCAAAGGGCTGCCCATCCCGGGATGATGTACTGAGAGGGCGAATCTTATCGTCGATGACAAGACTCATATATGCCTGTCGTGTCTTAAGATTAGATCACGCACAAGCGCGCGATTGTTGATCTCTCGTTATTGTAAATAATCGTCGTTATCAGAATCTTAGTGAACGATTCTACATAGTACTTCTTTGTAACTTGGACGATCATCGCGGGAGTGTTATCCCGTCAGAGACGCGTACGCGATCAATTGCAGATCGCCGCGAGCAATAGATGGACCTGCGTACTGCGAATCACCGATGCGAGAGACTCCAACTGGAAGTGTACGTGCCTCCAGAATAACGCAATAAATGTTACGACACATTTTTTTTTTTTAATACGAGAAACATTATTTTCCACTCACCTTCGATGCCTGCGGATGAATCTCTTTGATAAGCTAACACAATCTCTTTGAGAACATTCGCACCAACCGTCCTTTTAATTAAGTGAGAAATAAAACTAGAGAGTTGTAAATAGTACTTTTTGTGAGCGTTAGAATTTTAGACTTTCCAGGGAAAATCGACTCTTCGAGGACGACTTTGGCCAAACTTCGATTAATTTAAGCGGCGATTGATTCAACCAACAAACGTTCATTTCTGTCAATGATAAATTGACTGTAATCCCGATTTAATTTCTGTCTGTAATCTGAATTTTTTGTCCAGTCCAAGTTTTTTTACTATTTAAAAAAAAAATCAGGATTATATTTTTCAACAATTATATTACATTATCAAATGTCTTTTAACTCCAATATTAAAACCTTTATTTAATAAAAATTGAAATTGGATAAAATTAAGGGTGAAATTTGAGAGTAAAATTTCACTTGTGCCAAGAAAGACTCAGATTGCACATGGAGAATTAATTTATTCATTACCTTCTTCTAAGGTTTAAAACTAGAAAAAGATAAAAAGTAAGTTGAATCAAGTAATTTATCTACAATTAGTAGAAATAAACAAAAATTGCTTATAATAATATTTTCTTCTACGTATCGAGCGACAAGAAGTTAATAACTCTATACACAAAAACAGGTATTAAGTTAATATTAATATTATATTTGTAGTACGAGATAAATTTTTCAAGCGTTAATTAGTTGTAGGACAAAAGAAAGATCGTTCTCGAATTTCTCTTCCTTATCCAAGTCAATTAATAGATTTGAAATATTTGTCGTGTCGTACGATATAAATGTAATACCAACCTTATTCCGGTTCCACCACTTTACTCTCGGTTCAATTTATTCTTTACCTTTTTCTAATTCCAAGAACTAGAAAAACGTAAACACACAGTAATGCCTATTTTTACCAATGTATATAAATTAACTTCAATCTCAGTTCTTACTCTTCATCTTTTTTTTCAGTTCTAAGAATTAAAAAAAGATGAAGCGTAAATTGAACCGAGGTTAATCTTACATTGGAATCGGACCTGAGTGAAACCGAGATGAAAGTTAATCTTATATTGGGGTCTTCTGTACTTGACAAGTTAATCGCCAATTGAATTAATCGAAGTCTGGCTACTTTCCAGTAACAGACACAAATGACACAGTGTAACACACGGTAGTGATCAATCATTATATCCTTATTTTTTGTCGATGTTGAACACAGATGAAATGATCACTAGCTGTATTAAGCATCATTTATACATGCCGCAGGGCGTAAATAAACTATTAACTTATGCCATAAGTTATAATAAAAAATTGGCTATTTACGGTCAAATGTGAGAAGAATAATCAGCTTCATTCTCCTCACATTCAACTATGATTGGTGAATTTCTTATAAATCGATTAATTTCTTATAAATAATTTTTCACGCTGTGTCTCTTACTGAAAAGCACCGTTTGATTGATGAAGAATCATCCCAGATTCGCGAAAGGATTATTATTAATTGACACGGTGTGCTAACCGTGCTAACCGGATTTCCTATCTCTTCGCGGCAAGGGGGTCAGAGATCGCGACGATGACGAAGGAAAATCGTAGACTACGTAGACCAACCGTATACTCGATCGCGATCGGTCAAGGTAGCGCGTGCAGCTGCAGCTGCAGTCGCATAATGACAGATGTCACGTGGAACAACGATCGTGGTGGGGTGGGGGAAAAATAGTGGAGCGGGGGAGGCCGAGGGGAGCCTGGGGACTGGGGAGCTATGTTCCCTCTGCTGCCACAGCACTTGTCAACAATATGGCTCCGTAAACGACGCACTCGTATCGAATCGCGTGACCAGATGTTGCTCGAGACACCGCACGCAACGAACGCGACGAGCCTCGTTGGCGGTGCGACGGTATCCTCGCAGCCGACATAGCCGCGAGTGAAAGTACAAAGAATAAGAACGCGATGCGCGCGAGTTCCTAACCTGGCGATGACCTGGCGATCACCAGCGTTGTGCGGAGTTACCGCGACGTGAATCCATTTCTGTATCTACGCGAATTACGTAAATTCCTCGTAAAATTTCCCTTTCCCTCTCTACGTCATCGAGAACCTTCGAAATGGCATGTTCAGTGGAACGGCTGAGGTAAGGAGTAACTGGATCTGTTACATGTTATTGTTTCTGCTACCGTAGATTATATCTCGCAGAGAAGACACAATCTGTTTTTTAATACGTTCTTTTTAACGCTTCATAGAATTTATTTTATCACGTACAATGTGGCTACAAAGTTCCCGGATCCCAAAGAGGATCTTCATCAACTTCTGGGTATTACACCTTGCGACAAATCAAAGTTGGTGTGGCCGGATTTATATTTTGTCGGGTAAGTCCAGAACGTTTCTCTGGATCAGATTCAATGATAAAGTGTGTGTTCTTTTAGTTTACAGGAAGTTAAATCACAACCACAAAATTTAATATTAGATTATATACTATTTGAGGATCCGTGGACTAAAGCCTTTAGGTAAGTCTGTTACGATGATGCAACTTATATCAGGAATATAATTATTTACTATGTATATTCATTTAAGATATAAAAATTAAATACTCCGACTTGTTTGCAGAGATGTGTTGAAGAAGTATAATTATGTAAAAGTACGTTCGCAACGATTGCAGGGTCTTGTTCTGAATGTTTTTTGCTTAAGGAAACACTTGACACACTTAAGATTGATGGAAACTCAGTATACCAAGACAGGTTTCGGTGGCATATGGGTAAGAAGACGGTGTAAGGCCAATATTACATTCATCCGTTTTTTGTTGTATGACAAATTTTTCAAGCCTATTAATTGACTATAGGACAAAGAGGTCTGAGATCCTCTCTGTCTTGCAGCCAATTAACATATTTGAAAAATTCGTCGTACGACAAAAAAATGGATGCATGTAATATTGGCCTAACACTAGCAATTGTTGTTCTACTAATAATCTGCTTATTTTGCTTGTTTTTAGGGAAACAAGGGCGCAGTGAGCATAAGAATGAACACCTACGGAGTCAGCGTTTGCGTGGTGAACACACATTTGACTCCCCATGATCATTTGCTAGCTGATAGAGTATCAGATTATAATACCATCGTGACAGACCACACTTTCACTGCTCCGTATACATCGAGAATATTATATCATGAGTATGAATATTTTTATATTGAAATAGGATTGTATCATTTGAATAAAATTAACTACATCCTCGATAGTAATATACGTATCTTCTATTAGTTATATATTTTGGATTGGTGACTTAAATTTTCGGCTCAACGGAGAGGAATTAACTGCCGCTGATATAGACTTATTGGTGAAAAAGAAGCATTTGAATGAACTCCTCGAAAGAGATCAGTTGATGATGGTAATGAAAGAGCAACAAGCTTTTGCTGAACTGAGTGAAAGTAACATTACATTCCCGCCTACTTACAAATATGAGTTTGAGTCTCAAGAATTTGATCTCAGGTAAATTATACTGATTAAATATAAGAAAAATTTATAAATATTTCTTTTAAATGTTTCGGTATGTCTTATATAATGTTATTTTGACATGTTTATAATTATGTCTCATGTAGGCGTAGACCATCTTGGACCGATAGGATTTTATATAAAGTAAATGCAGCAGATATATACGACGATATAGAAATTCGCACTGAACAACATAGTTACAAGAGCCATCCCGATTACAGTGTCTCGGATCATAAACCTGTAACTGGAGAATTCGATATCGTGGTAAAAATACAGTCTTGTTATACATTTCTTCTTATCGAGCTAAATTTGAATGATAAAACTTTTTTTTTAGGTCAGACCTGATATAGAAAAAGACATTGTGGAATTCCAAGACTGTATCGTGGAGGAAAATTTTATCTCTTACAAACTACAAAGAGATTTTATCCCATGCAGTGGGGACTGGATAGGTCTCTTTCCTAACGAATTCTCCAGTCTAGATGATTACATCATTTACGAATATGTTACTCGCGGTAAGTTTCTTATTCCATTACACATCCTGCTGTTATTTTACGTTATTGTTGCTATTTAGTGTTGCTATTCATTCTTCTAATAATTATCTAATATCCAGGTAAACCAATGTCAGTTTCTGACGAACCTCACGCGAACACGGAACGAATATCGTACAATGATTCGGCGCTTCGTCTGTCGGAAATGTACTGTTTGGTGTATGTAGCTCAACGAGGCTATCTTATGGAAGTTTTGGGAGTGAGCCCAGAATTTTCGGGTCCTCATAGATCAGTCGAACAATCATCTACATAAATTTTATAGCAAAGAATCAATTTACTTAAAAAAAAAATTCACTTAAAAAGAGCTTACGCATGATCGTTTTATCGAGAGATTAAATACCAAGCTTTATGCAATTTTCTAGATGGATGGAAATATTTTTTTAATTAATTGTTATCCTATTACGGTTTTTTTTTTAAATAATGCTTTAAGGGTGAAATAGATTCACTATTCAAAGTTGTGTGAGTAGGAAAATTAAATCAAGAAATATGGCCTCAAAGGGTGCTTTTGGTACGGTATAGTAAGTTTACAAATTAAACACATCACGAAACAATGTTTCGTATAGGAGTTAGTTGTTACTTTTGGTACCTGGTTTTTGCGCTCAGGGTGCGTCGCGGCATTGCCGCTTAAAGTACGTCGTGGCGTATTTCATCGTCCGCTTTAGAGCTTTCAGTGAGTGCACCGTCACGTTTTTCTGCACGCAAGATCTTTCGCGATCCATTAACTTGTTGTTAGAGAATAGGCTATACTTATAGGTGTATAATTATTTTTTTTGCCTCTCGAGCGTTAATGAGTTACGTGGTACGCGTGCGCTCACGTTGTATATCATGACTATTTTCTTAGCATAATTTAGCAAATTTAATTGTGGCAAGGTACGTTCGCGTACTATACAAATTCACACATATTGTTTGTTATATATACATATATATATAAATGTATAGTGCGCCGTCAGAACAAATTAAACGAACAAATTAAATGTACTCGATGGTTTCAAAGGGAACGCAAGAATAAAGGATATTAATATTTGTTATTTATTTTGACTCATTTGCCTCGTCGTCCTATTCTATGCACAATTTCTTCAATAAATTATAATGTCTAGTACGACAATAAATAATGCTAGCTACATACGGAACAACAATACGATTCGATAACAATATTATGCAAAACTTGTTTTTCTACCCACAACTCCGTTCTCTCCCCCCCCTCTCGAATATACTGCGATATTGACGTATTTTCGATGAATTTATAATTGGTAATAAACACGTTTTGACGTATTCTATTCAATATTCACTATGCTGCGCTTTTGTTTAAACTTAATTTATTTGTAATGTATTAACATAACGTGTTATACCGGATTCATGAAATAAAGGCTTCGCACAATAATATTATTGTATCGCATTGTTGTTCCGTTCAACAATAAGCAATGTATAAGTACACAAGGTATGGTAACATTATCGATGTGAACATCGACTTGCGGCGTGAATTGAAGAACTACAAGTATTATCGTTAATACTACCATGATTAATACTGCGATGTATAATCACTTAGCCTTAATGAACATCAATTTAGGATTACAGCCGGTTCTCACACATATTTAATTGCGCAGATTACATTCTTATCATTTGAGATCCTTAAGCGAGGTCCGTTCATTGTTTGTTTCCGCAGTTGTATAATTAGCGCAGTAACATCGCAATATGTACTATATTTTGCGGAGGTGGACGAATAATGCGTTACGTAACATGTTATCTTGCAGAAAAAGATTTTCACATAACTTCGCGAAATACTTGTAATTCAACGCGCGCAAAGTCACGTCGTATGTTTCCTCTGTCGATGCATTTTATTCGAAGTTAAAACGCCTCGACATGCGCATTGATATTTACAATTAGATTATTGCAAAAAAAAGACTAGAAACTATTACTTATAATATAAAAATTGTGATTTAATTAAATATTTATAAATAATCTCTTTTAGGCGAAAGTTCCTTGCATCGGATTTCGCGGGCTAGTTAACTTGAGTGAGTTTCTCGAGTGATTTGCAACGAAATCATCCCAATAAAATATTTTGTATCTCTTCATGAGCGTCACCGTTCGAGAAGGTCGCTCCGTGTTGCTATTGTACACAGCGAAATTAAAATAACTTTCATCTCATTGACGTGAGACCCATATATCCCGGCTCCTTCCTTTTGTCGGTCCATTGGATTATCGGTTTATCGATCGCATTAAGTTTACAGTCGATATCACTTCGGCCTGCATTAAATGCATCATCTTGTCACGCTTAGAAAAAGATCAGTCTTTTTCTAAGAACTATTCTAAGAATTATACGATCTCTGTGGGATATCGCCGTTTATTACGGGTAATAGCGCTAAGTCCATGCTTCCGACGTTTAATTCCGTGGTGTTTATTCCTCGTATCTTCTGTATTCTATGCCAAACGAAGTCTCTGATAGGCCTTCTCAGAACGAATAGACCGAAGACGAGGACACCCTGAAGTGCGTTCACCAAATCAAACGCCGTCCAGTCGAAAGGATCACCGCCAACCCCCCAAGAAATTAATTCCATCATCCAATTGAGACCCATCAAAAAGAAGAGTACAAGGCAAACGATGAAGACCCGTTTGAGTCTGCGGAAGAGTCTTTGATCCTCCCGATCGGAATGGTGATTCCTCGCCAAGCGTCTCAGCGCAAGAGCTTGCTGGTACCGGCTGATCTTGACAGCAGTGATTATGAAGAGGATCATGTTCACTAACAGAAGGATACCGACTGGTGCGTAGAAATATGGCAGAGCTTTCGTATCGGCTATAAAAAGAGCGATAATAATTAACACTTCCACTTCTTCTGATAGTGAATGAAAATAATAAGCAAAACGACAGATTAAAAGACATATTAAAAACAAAAAGTTTGATAATTTTACATTACTATGATAGGAATTGTTAGGGCTGTAATGATTAGATTGAATCTATTTGTTTTATCTAACTGTAGGGAAATATATTTAACCTTCCGTCTTCAATTTAGGTTTTTTTTGGCACAAGAAATTTCTCCGAAATAAAGAAGGACTGAATCCGATTCCTTTATTGCTAAGTTATACATATTTCCATTTTTTCCTCATTTTTACTAAAATTTCAATTTTTATTATATGAAGGTCTTAACATTTAAGTTGAGAATCTATTTGGTAATGTAATAGAAATATTTAAAAGCTACTCTGAATTTTTCTACATGTTTTGAAAGTCTAAAACTGTAAAAATATTCAGACTAGAATTTTTACAGCAAAAAAGACTCAGATTGTAGACGGAGGGAGTAAAAATAGAATTGCAGACGGAGGATACCAAAGAAGCTCGTTTGGTGTGCATATTCGTGATGGCAATGAACGTAATTACAAGTCCTGCAAATGGATCGAGAAACTTACATTGGAACCAGCAGCGCTCGCTACCAAAACCGGGCTTAACGTAGGTCGTGGGTATTGTAGGACTGAGATCCATCAACATCGAGACGAGAATGAGGCCCGCCGGGGAGCCCCAGGCCCATATCGAGTAGTAGAAGAACAGTGTTTTAGGCTGGATTCTCTTGTACGAGCGCTGGTTCACATGGTGATGTACCAATGCCCATGTTTCGATGCACATCACGTTCAGCCAGAAGAAGCAGGCCACGAACGAGAATTGGATGACGAATGCTGAAAACGACGCCGATCGCAGTCTCTCAATCAATCTGCTTGTCATTCGTGTGTCATCATACTTCCTAAAGCGAACCTCTTGTTCTACACGACATCGCCGAAATTATACCACGCACTCATTGTGTAAAAGTAACAGTCCAAAGTCCAATATTCGAATTGTACAAGCTTCAAGATTTTATCAGTTACTTATTACTGTCTATCTTCAAATTTCTATAACGATATTCTTGTAACAACAACTCGATTGAGAAGTTAAATTCGATTAAACGTTCAGGCAGTAATGTAATTAAAAAAAAAAAAACATTATTTAAGTTGAACATTTTTTGTCGATTTTCCTGACTTATTGTATTTTTAAAAAATTGAAATTTTTTATTTTTGGTCATAAATCATAATTTTCTAAAATTGTACACTATATGTACATTATATGTATTTTTATGTAATAGTGTTACGCTTAAATGTGTCTCTCATTGATAATTAATTATCTTACCTATACTAACGCAGGCTTGAAACGATAATTGTCCGCTTGCGAGTTGCGTAATAGCTAAAGTGGTAAAGGCCAGCGCCAAGCAGCCGCAATAGTGGCAAAGGGCTTTCCCGTGGACGTCCCTCAATCTTGGTGTTATCGTGTATGCCGCAATGGTAAGTATCAAAAAAGGAACCGAGATCAGGAGCCCGCAGGCATAAATAATGACCGGTGTACCCGTGATCGGTGGCGGAACATCTGCAATCGTTGCATTTACATTAAGAGATTTAAGTGCGAGGAGACATAAAAGAAATTACATGTCAATAAATTGTCAATTTTCTGTGATATGGTAAATACTAAAATTTTTTTAGATAAATAAATAATTCGTTGTACGAACAAGTAACAATTATTTCCTTGGTTTGAAACATTCAGAAGATTCACAGAGATATTCAGAAGGATTATCAATGAAGCATTGATGAATATCTTTATACGAAATATATAGAGGTAGATAAATGACAGCTAAAAGATAATAAAAGAATGGAAAGATTGTCTGTCGGATTTCAGTTCCTTTGAAAAACAATCTTATCAAAATTCTCCTATTTTTATCTAAGTATGTCACTTATTTATAACATATGAAAATATTCAATCTTCATTGATAATTCTTCTGAATTTCTCTGTAAATTCTCTGAATGTTTCAACTCAAGAAAATATATAATTATTAAATATTAAAGAGTACAAACCTTGAAAACAGACAAATACTCGAAGTCCCAGCTCGGCCACAACATCCATGCAATAGTTCTTACCGGGCATCAACATAATCGGTACGAGATCGAGTCGCGGCGCGAAGATGGAACCATTCGCCAATAAATAATACTCATCACCCTTGTTCTCCGGTTGTAGCATGTACCTGAAAATTGCTTTGTCAAATACGTGTGCGTATATGTGCAAACTTGGAGCGGCGACTTAAGAAAGGTGCTTGAGTAGAGTATTCAAAGTAAATGGAGGTTTAATTTACTTTGAATACCCGCACCAGGATACACACACCGCGACAGAAGATCTTTCCGAGAAACACGTTTCTATAATCAATCGCTCATGAGAAACAAGTTTTGCTGGGAAAATTATTCCTATCTAATTACAGAAATTGCAATAATACTGAATTTTACGATAGAAATGAGTAGAATAAAGCATTTTATTTATCACAAGACACTGAATGTCGTTGTTTCTCAATGTCGCATCTGTGTATCCAGTGTGTATCCAATGTGCCTAACATTTAAAGAAGAAATTCGTGAATAAAGTTATTTGAAATCTAAATCATGTTACAAAATTCATCTAGCCGATTATTCAATACAAAAATAATATTAGCTGCAAAAATTATATCTGCAAGGCGTTTGGAAAAAATCGTGCCGATTATTAAAAAAATGCAAAAGTAATTTTTTCTTCATATAAATATATCTTTATTTTGTTCACTATGCTTTTATTCTGCATTTTTTTGCTATTTTATATTTGAAGATTTCATCTTCTTGAATTCTCTTATATTTCTCGACAAGAAATAAATCTTTTTAAGATCCCGAATCATCTAATGTTCTCATAAATCAATTTAGATTTATGTTGCAATCTTCATTGTTTATGCAAATGTAATTCATGAGCGGTTACATTTTATTCGTTCGTACTCGATATGTCTGTTCTTTATAAATAAATCATATACACTTATCAGCTAAAAGGTTACAACACTCTTTTTTGATTGGTTTCGGAGGTTTTGGAGGTTTCGGAGGTTTCTTAGCCTTGCTCGATGAGCAATTAAAGATAAATGATTAGATCCATATTATAAGTAAGAACCAAATTGATATTATACGGGATGTCCGGTAAGCAGGCTGCATTCCGAAAAAAGTGTTGCAACCTTTTAGCTGATGGATATACAAACTACATACAATAACGCGGCGATATCACTGTCGTACTACATATCCGGCGAGATTAAACGTTCCTTTATGATTTCATCTCCGCCGATTATCACACGATATCATTTTTATTAGAAAAGAAAAAAAATATTGACGCCGCACGTTATCTGCCTCATGCAGGCAATAAGTGCGCTCTATAACAGCTTGTGAATTATTTTCAAGATACACAATTTTTTAATACATCATAAGTATCTGAAGAATACAATGTCGAGAGTGCAGTTATCATTATATATATACAGAGTGTCCCTAAATTCGCGAATCGAAATATTACAGCAAAAAGATTTTCGAAAAAAATAATTTGCTATAAAATTATTTATCGTTTCGAAAGTAGTTTTTGAGATATAAAGATTAAAAACTGGCTAATTGTAAATTATAATGAAACGGTTGTCTATTCCGCATCAGTCGCGTGTCGATAGTGTTAATGATTGTGAACATTACGCGCTTATTAGATAAGAAATTATGTGTGTAATGTCTGGGGAATACCGTGTACATATATTTTAATATTGATAATGTAGTATATAAATTATTAATTTAGTAGCGATATAATATTCCGATATATTTATCTTATTAATTACCTTTATCATCAACATCAACTAATTGCTATAATGTTACACGCAATACACGATATTATGCGAACGTTATACACAATCTATTATCTAATGCTTATGAGCGCATGAAGTGCGCGACTCATGGACAGACTACTTAGTCTATAATTAGCCAGTGTTTCACCAGTATATCTCAAAAACTAACTGCTCGAAACGCGATAACAAATACTTTCATAACTTATTTTTTCAAAAACTTCTTTGCTGTGGTATAATTTTAATTCACATTTCGGACATCCTGTATAATATCAATTGCAATTTTCCTTGATAACAGATATAAGTAAATTCATCTTACGATTTCCATATTTCCAAGTACATATTTAATTTGCAATTATGTAAAGCCTGGTATATTTTCGCACTAGTGTTCGTTAGATTTTCTAAATTTCACAGTCTACGAGTTTAGCTAATCGACATTTCATTATAATACGTCATTTCATTATAATACGAAAACAGTCTTATCGTAAAATATGGCCAATCGGCATGGCGTTCCAATTTATTGATAAGGATATCGATAGTACAAACTCATTTTATATTACATAATGAATAGACATCGAATTCTCATGCAATATTTCTTTAGAAAGTAGATTGGAAAGTAACATTAAAATAGAAATTTGTCTTATTAAAAAAGACATTTAAAAAATATTTATTTGTACACATTTGTGCAAATTTGCATATTTTCTATACGACTGCAAAAAATATTTGCATAAACATCCGATGTCTAGTAACGAATGACCTTCGATAAAATGGTTTGTAACGTGACTTTCTCAACAGCTGATTCGATCATTCCAGTCTTTACGGATCTTTTTTTCGTGTTCCCATATACGTACCTCCGATTGCAGGGATTTCCTACGAGAGCGGTGAATGCCTCACATTTATCACCGGGCACCAGCGCGCCGGTACGATTGAAATCGCTGAAGAGAGGCGAAAAATTCGTCGACGAGTCATTCGAAGAAGCACAAGAAACGGTATTCCCGTGCGTATCTTTTATGAGGGCTTCGTCTATGGAGCAACATTTTCCCACCAACGGTAAGTGCCTGTATTCCTCCGGCATTGTGGTCTCATTTTGCTGAAACGAAAATATTAAATGTACTTTGTATATGTTGTTGGAACGACACTGTCGATATATCTCGACGTTCCGAAATTCTCGGAGAACGCAGCTTGAGACGTGTCGTGAGCATAAATAATCATGTGACTAATAACCGAACTTGTAGGCGTTGTAGTTTGTCACTTATGGAAATTGACTCCATATCTTTTAGGACAGATTTGAAATCGGGCAAAAAAATTTTAGATTTTCTTCGGAATTTCTGCGAAACAATCTCTATATGTATGTATGAGCGTAGCTCGTTGAAGCAATAAATAAGTAATATCGTAATTTATAAACTAATAAATCAACCGCAGAATTGATTTCGAAGAATTTTTAGTTTTTACGTCAATTCACAAGAGTTGCCGATTTCCATCTTCCAAGACTCGTTCGCATATCTTCTTTTAGATACTTTGTTTTTCTCAACTTCTCGATTTCTTATGCAACCTTTCGCAATTCAGGAAAGATCAGGTATTTGCGTAAGAGCTTTTACAACCGAGATTATCTGGACAATATCAAGAAACTGGTATCAATATCGGCTACTTGATCTAAATATAACTCCGCGAGAGATGCGAAATACATGAAGCTCAGACAAATAAATACAAAACCTAAGTTTGGTATGTCATAAATGTCGGTATAATATTATATACTTACCAATGCGATAGAATATATGATGGGCATCGCGTCACTCGTGCACGCAATTGGTGTCAATAAATACGCGAAAAAGACGTAGACACAAATGAGTCCCATCCTGGACAGTAGTTGCACCTTATCAAAGTCTATCGAGTGTCGATTATCGAGAACGTACTCGAAATTTATGTCGTGTCAACCTTTAAATTAATGCTCGTCAAGCACTTTGCATTGAGCATAATCGAACTTTGAATATATCAGTGGACCTCGAAAATGGAAATGGTAATTCGACCTTGCTCCGGATGCACCTATAATTACGACGTGCAGTACTTGTCGCGGCGACATTTAGGCGAGACAAGTTCTTCCGCTCCTCTTTCGTCACTCGATATCATATTAGATCGTGCGCATTTATCTTGTCACACCCTGGTTGCACTCACCGATAAGTCTTCCATGTAACGCGGGAGTTATTTACTTGATGATCGATGCCGGTTTTAATTGAGGATTTCAGTCAGCTTTTACTCTATTTCTCTCGTGTCTCCCCTCTTGTGTTTGATTAGCCGGTTTTGCGAAGTTAGTCAGACAGATAAATCCGAAGCTCTTCAGAATTATAGAATTGACATTAGCGATGTATTATCGGTTGTTTCTCCGATCACCTATTATATCATTATCTTGCATTCTCACCATCGCATCGATTTTTTTCAATAATGTCTTCGCACGAATGCACGTGTCATCAAACACATTCGATGTCCGTGAAAGCATTGATCATTCGGAAATTCCTACCAGATCCTGTAGTCCGAAACACCTACGGCGTCAACAGTGAAAATAAGGAAAGTTTTTTTTTAATTCCTTGATTGATCAATTGCTACATGCAAATGCAACTTTGTTATATAAATTAACATAAAAGCTGTATTTGGGCATAATGCGATTGATCAGATGAATTAAAAAACTCGCCTATGTTATACATTTAGGCCCTAACAACACAGACCTCCAAACGTTTTTAGGACGTCCATACCCAGACAGCACAGAAATATTTATGATAAATATTTATTATTATTTATTTTTGAAATGTTATGTAAACATTTTATACACATTTTATATAAAACTTTATTCGACATATTGTTAAAAGATAGACATATTTATGATAAATATAAATAAATATCCGTGGTACTTTTTACTTGAATTATAATGTCTTATTAAGTATTTTCATGACTTTTATTACAAAATTTACAATAAATATTTCATAATATCTATAATAAATGTTTATGATCTATGCAATCTAAGACTACAAAAATATTTACAAAATATTTGAAATAAGTCTTATAAATATTTATAAATACAACATTTTGTAAATATTTTATAAATATTGTCTGCTGTCTGAGTATGTACTTTGAATATCCTAAAGACACCCCAGGATGTATCCCAAATAAAGTGTGCTATTAAGAGGATGTCTATTGCATTTCATCGTGAGACAACGTGACTCACTCGAAACTTAAATCAAGATATCGAGATTTTTGAAGGAACGACCTCGAGAAACGAGATCATCGCTAAATCAAATGCTCAACTATTTCGCAGTCCGGACAGGATTAAGGCAATCTCATTGACACGACGGAGACGTAATTTTCAAGAATTAAGAATGTCTTATCAAGGTGACAAGCAACCGATGACGAATGGTCATTGATCCGTAATTCCCGCTATTTTATTATTCAAGAAACTCGTAAAGAATGATAAGAAGCGAACCTTATGGTCTTATTCTGTAACTCTTAACGACTCTAACGATATCATTAAATTGTTGTCGCGCAGCTTTTTTACTGTATACAAAATCTGCGTAATGTAACGATATCGTTGCAGTCATTAAGAGTTACAGAATAGGGCCATTAATGTACGCACCTGCGATAATTCCCGCTTATTAACTCAACTTCTGTAAATTACCTTTCCCCTCTTATCCCGAGCCGATCTTCAAAATTCACGTCTCCACATCCCACACACTGTGTTATATACAGTTACCTTGTTTTGCTGACATTTCATGTTACACGTACATATAACATTGTGTTCGCTGGGATATATGCATGTAGAGAAGGTAAACTTACGTGAGACCGTATCGGAAATCCGTAGATCCTCGTTATCATAAAGTGCGCGATTGGTTGTCTTTTGTAAATTAGTGAATTATTGAACACCGAGTACAACAGTTAATTGATTATGAAGGATGCACGCACATGCACACACATATACACACGCTCGCTTGTATTTAATCGTTCAATCTTTAAAAAGTACCATTTTCCTCAGTCGAAGTGTGATAAGAAGTCCCGGTACTTGATATCGATTTTTCCACAAGATCTCTCACTTATCCAATCGATTTCTTTGTGTATTTCCTCAAGATTATTTTCGTTTTCACGTTAAGCGAGATTCTTTCGATAGCTACAGTAATCAGGGATCGACAACGTGCCTGATCGGCAAGATCTACGCGCAACGCGGTTCACCGATCAAAGTCTGAGAACTGACTGGCCGGACACCTCGATCCGCTGGTGCCTTTATCGAGGAAGGCAGAGAAAGAGAAAGAGTGATGCACGCACTCCGACGAACGTGCCGATGGCTAAGCTCATACGTATATACGTATGAACGTGATATATACGAAAAGTATTTCGCGGGGGGGCGTTATCGATCGTTGAAGACAGATATATGTTCAATCTGGTCAATTCGTTAAATAATGGCGTAATCCGCCATTCTAAGAAAGACTCATCACTTGGGTGATTGAGGGTGACTCTCTCTCTCTCTCTCTCTCTCTCTCTCT